CGAGGCTGCTCTGTTCCCAGGGTAGGCAGCAGCGGTCGGTTTGTTCCTCTCTAGTTCCTCCCTAGGCACCATGTCCGTACACCATCTCTGAATCCCACGGGCCTGAGGTCGTACTCATGCCACAAGACGTGATCCAATCCCAGAGAGACTCCGAGCCAGAGCCGCTGTCGGGCGGCGCTCCGGGGTCAGCAGCGGCGGCGGCGGCGGCCGACTCGCTGCCGCCGCGCGTCCAACGCCACACTCCGCGTGGCGTCGGGGTGTCGTCCGCGCCGCCGAGGCGTTCGGCGCGCTCGGCGCGCCGCGATCATAAGAGATTGATTTTCCTCCGGACATTCCTTCTGCCGTGCGGCCCAATAACGTCGCCCCCCGCCGGCGGCTGGTCGCGTCCTGACGCCGCCGCCGCCGCCGCTGCCGCCTCCGCTGCCGCCGGACTTCCCCGGCCTCGGCAGCGAGCGCCGCGGCAGTGCCAGCCAGGAGCGTCTGACACGGCTCTCGGGCGTGCCGGCGGCAGGGCAGGGTCGGCTCGCCGGGCAGCGGCGGCAGTCTGCTGCAGTGCTGGTTACGGCTCGAGGTCAAGGGCGCTGGGAAAATGTGGGCGTCACACAGCCGCGTCTTGAGAACATGAGAGCCACAGCCACGCAATGTAGAGACCTGTCGGATGCTACACATAATGAAGGGCGTTGCATTAATATCTGGAAAACAAGAGAGTCCTTCGATTCACTTCAGCCGGTTCCTTGGCCACGTGAATAATGTCGGCGCCAGTCCACTGACAGTCAGCTGGGATTGGGTCTGCCCGCCCACCACTCACTGGCGCTGCCTGTCGCCGTGACGGATAACCCCTGCGAACGCGGTCGTGGCCGCCCCGCTGATGGCGATCTGGTCACCCTCTGATCGCCGATCGGCGCCGTGTTGATTTTCGCCGCCGCCCGAGTGCCGGGCCGTGTCCGGTGCTGTTTGCACAGAGTGATTGCGAGCGTCACAGCACCGGCGGCAGCGGAGCGAGTGGCAGCCGGTGACGCGTGGCCCCGGGTGGGGACGCCGGCGGCCGGCCGTGGACGCCGCGGACGCCGGCGCGGCCCGAGACTCCGGAACCGCAGAGTGATGCGTGCCGGGTCGAAATGGCCCTGCGGTGCATGCTGCTCCGCAGGACGTCCATGCCTGGGTCGGGAGAAGTCAGCGTTGTCTGCGCTGTCTACTTGAGCGTGCATATGGCTAAAGGACGGAATGTGATTCGTATATGTAAGAGCGATTCCAGAAAGACACCGGGCAGTCATTACAACTATGTGTGAAGTCTTTGAAGCCATATAAGAAATTTCGATTAAATACGGCAGCTAACGTCACGATGGCCAGCATTCAGTGTGCTGGTCAAAGCGGCGAGGTCCACTTCTGCTACAGAGCACGAATCCAGTCTGACGCGTCTGCCAGCACTTGGCATTGTAGGGGACGCCGTTGCGCTCGTCCTCAAGCCACATAAAATTCATTATCATGTCGTCCCCGGCGGTTGCGCACCCTCCCCTCGCTGCATTAGTCAATTGCTCTGGCCCCGTGTCCAAACTTCCGCCGGGCGCCGTCTGACGTCACAGGCCCTGTATCGATCGGGACCGCCAGATTTGGGGTGGGGGAGCGGACGAGGCTGCGGCGCTGCCGGGAGCTCCGCTGGTCCGGCGGGCGCCGGAGCGGCGGGAACCTCGGCTGACGGGAGGGAGCCAGAAGCCCGACTGACAGGGGAAAGAGGCGGGAGCTCCGACTGACGAGATAGAGAGGAGAGGGAGGGAGAGGGAGAGAGAGAAAGAGAGAGAGAGAGTGAGTGAGTGAGAGAGGGAGAGAGAGAGAGAGAGAGAGAGAGAGAGAGGAGAGAGAGAGAGAGAAGAGAGAGAGAGAGAGAAGAGAGAGAAAGAGAAAGAAAGAAAAGAGAAATAGAAAGTTAGAGAGAGGGAGAGGAGAGAGAGAGAGAGAGAGAGAGAGAGAGAGGGAGAGAGAAGAGAGAGAGAGAGAGAGAGAGAGAGAGAGAGAGGAGAGAGAGAGAGAGAGAGAGAGAGAGAGAGGAGGAGAGAGGAGAGAGACGGAATCGCCGTTCGGCTGGCCGGAGGGAGAAGCGTCG